GCAACATAAATAACATCTCTTTAGCTAAAAGAGATTCTTTAAAAAAGGGTTTTGGGTTCGAAAAAGAGCGAGATTCTCTGATGCTGCAAAAAGCGTCAAATTCCTAACCTCCGAAAAATGAGAAAATTCGAAGGATCAACCAAAAATTGCCGGGTACAGGCACAAAGCGCAGTTTCAAACGCCATTCACTTCCAATATTTGGCATTTTTGCAGCTTTTCGATGTTCTTCGTCACCTCGCCGTATCACGAGGTAACCACGTGTTTGAAAATATCATCATTATTACTTTTATATTCGATTTTGTTTTTAATTAAGACTAGAGCAGAAAAATTTCAACGTGCCGAAATGAAAAAACCAATTAAAGTGCCAAAATTCGGCAGGTTTCCCTAGGTGCCAGCAATTTTTGGTTGATCCTTCGAATTTTCTCATTTTTCGGAGGTTAGGGAATTTGACGCTTTTTGCAGCATCAGAGAATCTCGCTCTTTTTTCGAACCCAAAAACCCTTTTTTTAAAAGAATCTCTTTTTAGCTAAAGAGAATTTTGCTCTTTTTGACCGAACTCTGTTCTTATAATCTTCCACTTGCGTGCAGAAGAGTTTTTTTTTTGTATTTGGCGGGGAACGGGGATATCTTTATTATTCCCGGGTAGGGCAGATGTCGCTATCATTATCTGCCTGACCTCAAACGAGTCCCGACTCTGAGGCGCACTAATGCCCGACAAAGCCGCCCTCCACGTCACCTAATCTTTCTGCAAAAGAGCTGGAGCTATCTATAATACAACAAGCAACACAAATACGCTTGCTACTCAATTCTTATCGGCTCAATACGACATTTCGGAAAGCTTCAAATTTGCGCTAGCCCATCTAGTCTGCATATCTCTCTACTTGGGGATTGGGTATTTACTCGGGGCTTTTACCCAGGAAATGATGATTTCCATCGTAAGAATGGTTAGGGCCTTGCTATAATAATCGTACATCATGGTCAGACCCCTTATGATTTTTACTAATTGCATCATTTCCCTTTCAGCGCTTCTTACCACGTATTATTATGATTTTTTTGCCTGTGGCGCTGACCCTAAATAGCCAAAGCCAGTGTGTCATCGGCTCGCGAATGGCACGCTCGTAGTGATTACCGTAAAGGTAGATCATCGGTGCTAAAATCGTCCTATCCAAAACAATTCAAGTTGATAAAAACAAAGTGGGTCGTTGGTTGGCGCTGGGGACGAGATGGAGGTCTTCTATTAGTGGGGAGGGCAAGGAGAGGCTCGACAGAGCGGGCGCGCGCCCCGTATTGCGACGTCAGATTTTCACGTAATCCGGCCGTATCTCAACGTAGAACGTTTATCTTGCGTTAATCTCTTCAGTTAATACTAAAACAATGCCAGTTACAGTGTACCCCTGAGAGAAATTTTAGCCCAAGCTGACCTTGATAAGACACCTTTTGGCCAAAATTTGAATTTTGGATTTCAAAGTTCCATAAAAAATTTTTTTGAAGGCCTATTTAGGAAAAGCTTCTTCTTCACCGAGATTAGCGACATTAAGCCAATAGCTGTGCAAATTTTCAGCCGAAACCGTCCATGGGAAGGCACTTTTCAACGACTACAAAGGTTTTGCGGACGGAAAGACATCCTGACAAACGCAGACCCCCCTCTCGAGTACAAAAAATAAAACGCTCTTAAAATTCGAAAAACTAACTTTTGAAAATTTGAAAAGCCGATCTTATGCAAAAAATCCGGCCGGTTCCGGTGGGTATATTTAGTTTTACGATCCGGTACATAGTTGCCGCTGAATCGGGAAAAGGACCCAAAAAGAGCCGCGCGGGGGTAACTCAGCCCAAGGGTTGGCAGGCTCCGCCCGTCTAATCCCTGATGCTGATAAAAACCCGGCAAAGAAACGGTCGTCTGCAGCGTCGACGCTTGGCTTTTATCAAAAATTTTGTATTTTAGCGGCTTTTTTGGATCCCAGGAAGGGAGCGGATTGAAAAAGAAGAACACCTACCGATTTTAGCCCCGCTCTGAGTGTTTGGTTTCTAGAGGGCGTGCATAGACCGCAAAGAATCGGGCAGTAATCCTGAAAAAACTACTTTCTTTGAAGGTACGCCGATACCTTGAGCATCTCCTGACATTCCGCTTTGCGCTCTTCTTTACATGAAACGTACACCGAGTTTTCGCAAAAGTCTAAAGCTATAGGAAGCTGTAAAAGTTTGAAAATTCATGTTCAAACCGCCACAGTCGCCGCAAGTTTTCCGGCAAAACTGGAGGGCGTACCCCGGCCGGACCGAGCAGTCGTTCGCATTGCAATATGGTGATTTGTCCAAACACTAAAAAAAGAGGAGTATTAGCGTAAAGTAGCGTACTTGTCCGATTTGTCCCTGTTTTGAGCCGATCACCCGTGCAACGCCAAACGCGATCAGTGACAGCAGCTTCATCGCGGCCGGCACCATTAGGAGACCTGAATAAAGAAGTAGAATTTTAGTTAAAAAAATCGGTCTTTTTCGGTCGAAAAATCGAGCGTTTTGATATTTTTTAATACAAATTTGTAAAGTTTTCACGTTTAGGAATAGTAGAAAACTTTTAGAAACAGCCCACTATTTATATTTGAAGAATTAGATCCTATAAAAAGTTCGTCCCCCCGATAATGCGAAGGAACCTAGTATTAACTCAAACCTCCCAAAACCAGGATCACAATCGACTCAAAGCGGGCCACAATTTTGGCGACGGAAGGGGGGGTCGGGGCGGCGGCTTCTAAATGCTTTGTTAGCTAGTTATGTGATTCTGGGGCCAAGAATGACCGTATGGCCATGATGGGTGCATGCGTGCTGGAATGCGCGTCGGTTTGTGTAGAGGGATCGGGTAGATCGAGTGAAGCCCCCCCTACCCCGGGGCGAGAAGACGTGAAATCTGAGCCTGCAACCCCTTCAGGCCACTCGACGGCGTGTTAATTTGACCGCGATTCGGCCCTCAAGCCCAACACGTTTCCCTCCTGCGGTCTGTCAACTACTTTCGAACTTCGGGAATCGTTTGCTTCGGAAACGGGGACCGTTTGGTTCTAATATAGTTAAATATCGTAATCATCGACTTTCAAAAACCTTTACTTTTCAAGAGCTTTTAAACCGTCTATTTATTAACTTTGTCCAAGATTCAGCGGTTTGGCAAAAATTATCCTTTTTTCCGTTTTCATACTCTTCACGGTCCACGTCCCTGAGTCGTTGCCTATAGCGCGCTCTAGCAAATACCCCACCGTACCCGAACTGCCCTCCCGACAATCCGTGGGGAAAAGACGCAGAACACCCCTGTTCAGAAATGTATCAAAGTTTGCTAAAACTAATATATTTTCTAGTTTTTGTTTATATAACGCCTATTATTTGATTTTAAGATTAAAAAACACCCCTCTTTTCAGGCATGGAAATTGAAACGATGGACGAAGACCGATGTTTCGTGGCACGCGACTACTCGAAGGGGCTGGCCGTTCAATTCGACACCGAGGTGCCAGATATGCTTCAAGGAAGGGTGTGTTAACGAATGGTTTTCGATTTATCAGCTTCCGTTTAGGTACGTGAAGCTGACTGGCGGAGAACGATACGGGCAATAAACGAAAAATTTACGGAAGCTGAAAGGGTATTGACAATTTTATTCTTCTAAGTTGGTAATTTGAGGTGTGCGCAGATTCGGTTGTCGAAACGTTGCTCGGGTGCGCGACATGCTATCTGATTCGTCTATTCGTGAAGACGAGATACGAGAAAAAACTGGACGAGGTGCGCGAGAGTTTATTGTATTGTGAAGTTTCTAGATCGACCGGCTACTCGCGCAAGAAAATAAAGAAGTCTACGGTCCAGTCGGCGTCCATATTCTCAACCCCATGTTTCGCGGACTTCGAGTGGTAAATCATCGTTTCGTTATTACCTCACATGTTCATTTTCAGATAGAGATCACGGTGAAGCGGCCTCGATGATGAAGCATCCCGTTTCTATTCTGCAATTGTTTTCCTTGTGTATTTCCAGATTATATTTTTCATATCATGGTGCCCCCGTCTTTCGCTTTGCTATGCGATGACATTATCCTTCTGGCTGCGCCAGCGTCTTTATTGACTTTCATTCCCCGCAAACAGTGCCTCTACCGCTCATACTATCCCCTTGCCCCAACCAAATTACATGTTGTATATTGTATATCTTGAAACTGTGATTAGCCGGTAAATAAATGGGTTATTGTGCAGCTGGGTGGCTGTTTTAAGTGCGTGACTTCGATATAATTTTATCGTTAATTTCTCAAAGGCACAATCATGAACAATTCGGGGCTGTGGACAGGCGGGTGCTACACGAGGCTAAACGGGGAGACGGAGCTGAAAGATTGGACTATGGCAAACGAATTTTTGGGAGGGACACACAGCGTAGATAAAGTGGGGACAAAATGCGAAGATATGGATTTCGGGGGTTCGGGGATTTGCCGAAAAATTGGGGCATACACGTGTCTGTACAGGGCACCGATAAATTTTGGCATAAGTTAGGGAAATGCAATTCAATGCTGGGACCACTAGCCGAATTCGCTGATTCTGAGGTCTGGGAGCTAAAAAACAAAAACGAAAATTTAGGATTAGCAAGGGAAAGGCTGAGCACCAACGGGGGAAGATATGCGCGGGGTGATCGAGACAATGGCTTTTTGATTCTTTGCGCGAGCACTGGTATCTTTGGCGGGATGGGGATTTGTCTGTTGCGAATGGGAGATTCTTTTGACTAAATATTTAGAAGGTTTTTGGGCTTACTAGGGAAGTGCAAATAAAACCCAGCAAACCGCTTAGCAAAATATGGGTCTGATAGGAGTCGGCGACGGGGATTCCGGAAACTGCAATCAGAATTTGCTAAACGCTTAATACAAAATAGTTATGAGCATTTTAAGTTTTGCACTACATTCTCCGCCCTCCCTTATGAACCCCTCCGAAAGATGGGTGTCCGCATGTCGAGTGGTGTAGTGTGCTAACTGCCATGCCTCTGGGGCGGAGGGTCTCGGTCTACCCCGTCATGCAAAAAATTTTGCTTTTTGGTCAAAGTCAATAACTTTAGACTTTTTTCAAAGTTTCGAAGCCGAAAAGGTCGTTCTCTTAATTTTTAAATTTATGAAACTGATTGAAAAGTGGTGGCGGGAGTGTCAGTAATCTTGTGGATAGGGCACTAATAAAATTCAATTCTATTTTTCGTAAGGCAGGCCTAGACGCAGTCAATAATAAAGACAATTTTAAAAATCTAAATTTCCGGACTTCGAAACTTTGAAAAAGTCTAAAGTTGTTGACTTTGACCAAAAAGCAAAAGTTTTGCATGACCGGGGAGTCGAATCCAGAGACCCTCCGCCCCAGAGGCATGGTAGTTAGCCACTACACCACCTCGACAGGCGGCCACCCATCTTTGGGAGGGGCCTCATAAGGGAGGGCGGGGAATGTAGTGCAAAAACTTAAAATGCTCATAACTATTTTGTATTAAGCGTTTAGTAAATTCTGATTGCAGTTTCGAATCCCTGTCGCCGACTCTATCAGACCCATATTTTTGCTAAGCGGTTTGCTGATTTTTATTTGCACTTCCCTAGTTAGATTAGAAGATTATAGACTGG